AAAATTCTGAGTGAAGTCAAGGCCTTATTGATAAACTGTAGCACCACCAAGTATTTTTAAACTTTGCCTTTTTACTGCAGATTGGTGGGAATTTTGATTTTGCAAAAGGTTCTTTGAACACTTTTCTTTAAATACAAACCAATGTGTATCCCATATACTTTTCATAGTGCTTTTCTTTCACTCTCAGCGACCTAATGTGTGGGAAACTACTTTTTTCTAGCTAAATGTTAGTTCCTGATGAAATCTTCTAAGAGGGACAGTGGATTAAACAAAGATCTTACAACAATGGTGCATACAGTCAGATCCTATTCTTAATAACTACCAGCTATTCATATTCACAGAGCATTTCACTCCAACAGCTTTTCAATCTATTTTTTTATTCCACTGATCACAGAATCATAAGGTTGGAAGAGACCTCAGGAGGTCATTGAGTCTAACCCTCTACTCAAAGCAGGACCAACCCCAATTAAATCATCCCAGCCAGGGTTTTTTCAAGAGAAGACTTAAAAACCTCTAGGGATGGAGATTCCATCACCTCCCTAGGTAACCCATTCCAGTGCTTCACCGCCCTCCTAGGAAAAACTATTTTCCTAATATACAATCCAGACTTCCCCCACTGCACCTTGAAACCATTGCTCTCTGTTCTGCCATCTGTCACTACTGAGAACAGCCTCTCTCCATCTCTTGGGAACCTGCCTTCAGAAAGCTAAAGACTGCTATCAAAGCCCCTTCTCCCCCATTCTTTTCTTTTTAGACTAAATAAGCCCAAATCCCTCAGCCTTTCCTTTTAAGTCAAGTGCTCCAGCCCCCTAATAATTTTGGTTGCCCTCTACTGGACTTTCTGTAATGAGTCCACTTTCTATAATGGGGGCCCAGAATTGGATGCAATACTCTAGATGTGGCCTCACCAATGCCAAATAAAGGGGAATAATCACTTCTCTGGGTCTGCTGGCAATGCTCCTCCTAATGCAACCTAATACACCATTAGCCTTCCTGGCTACAAGTCACACTATTGACTTATATCCAGCTTCTCATCCACGATAATCCCCAGGTCTTTTTTTGCTGAACTGCTGATTAGCCAGTCAACCCCCAGCTTGTAACAATCCTTGGGATTTTTCCGTTTAACCTCATCAGATTTCTTTTGTCCCAATACTCCAATTTGTCTAAGTCACTCTGGACCCTACCCCTACCCTCCAGCTTATCTATCATATTTATAGAAGACATTCTATAAATATACTAGAAGCAAGAGGAAGACCAAGGACAGAGTAGGCCCACTGCTTAATGAGGAGGGAGAAACAATAACAGGAAACTTGGAAATGGCAGAGTTGCTTAATGACTCCTTTGTTTCGGTCTTCACCAAGAAGTCTGATGATTAAGGAATGCCTAACATAGTGAATGCAAGTGGGAAGTTGGGAGAGATTCCACTGGAAAAGGGCAAATATGGTGCCCATCTATAAAAAAGGAAATAAGAACAACTCACTAAACTACAGACCTCTTAGTTTAACTTCTGTGCCAGGGAAGATAATGGAGCAAATAAAGAAGGAAATAGTCTGCAAATATCTGGATAACAATAAAATGATAGGTAATAGCCAGCATGGATTTGTGAAGAACAAATCATGTCAAACCAGTCCGATAGCTTTCTTTGATAGGATAACAAGTCTTGTGGATAAGGGAGAAGCGGTGGACGTGGTATACCTAGACTTTAGTAAGATATTTGATATGGTCTCGCATGATCTTCTTATCAATAAACTCAGAAAATACAACTTAGATGGAGCTACTGAAAGGTGGGTGCATAATTGGCTGAATAACTGTTCTCAGAGAGTTGTTATTAATGGTTCACAATCATGCTGGAAGGACATAACAAGCAGGGTTCTACCCCGGTCTGTTTTGGGACCAGTTCTGTTCAATATTTTCATCAATGATTTAGATATTGGCATAGAGAGTACACTTATTAAGTTTGCAGATGATACCAAGCTGGGAGGGGTTGCAACTCAAATAGGATAGGGTCATAATTCAAAATGATCTGGACAAACTGGAGAAATGGTCTCAGGTAAATAGGATGAAGTTTAATAAGAACTCCACTTAGGAAAGGATAATCTGTTTCACACATGCTGAATGGGAAGCGACTGTCTAGGAAGAAGTACTACAGAAAGGGATCTAAGGGTCATAGTGGACCACAAGCTAAATATGAGTCAACAGTGTGACGCTAAAAAGCAAACATGATTCTGGGATGCATTAACAGGAGTGTTGTGAGCAAGACACGATAAGTCATTTTTCCGTTCTACTCTACACTGATTAGGCCTCAATTGGAGTATTATGTCCAGTTCTGGGTACCATATTTCAGGAAAGATGTGGAGAAATTGGAGAAGGTCCAGAGAAGAGCAACAAGAATGATTAAAGGGCTAGAGAACATGAGCTATGAGGGAAGACTGAGAGAACTGGGCTTGTTTAGTTTAGAAAAAAGAAGACTGAGAGGGGACATGATAGTGGTTTTCAAGTACCTAAAAGAGTGTTAGAAGAAGGAGGGAAAAAAATCCTCCCCTTGGCCTCTGAGAATAGGAAAGAAGCAATGGGCTTAAACTGCAGCAAGGGAGGTTTAGGTTGGACATTAGGGAAAACTTCCTAACTATCAGAGTGGTTAAACACTGGAATAAGTTGCCTAAAGAGGTTGTGGAATCTCCATCTCTGGAAATATTTAAGAGCAGATTAGACGTGTATCAGGGATGGTCTACTCTAGACAGTGCTTGGGTCCTGCTGTGAGTGCAGTGTTCTATGATTCTACCTCTCTCCCTAGCTTTAGGGGTGCCAGATGAGTGAACCAAAAATACTGAGGGAAAAATTCTGTTGAGGGAGAAAAAAAAGGAGGGAGACAGCAAAGTTGTTGAGCATGGCCCCTTTCAGAGTGAGTGCAGAGTTAGAATAGGGATAGGAACAGGGCCCAGCACTGAATGTTGGGACACTCCACTTGATACTGACTGCCAACCAGACATTGAGCCCAACAATCTAGCCAGCTTTCTATCCACCTTATAGTCCATTTATCCAATCCATACTTCCTTAACTTGCTGGTAAGAATACTGTGGGAGACCATATCGAACGCCTTGCTAAAGTCAAAGCATATCACATCCACTACTTTCCCCTTATCCACAGAACCAGGTACCATGTTGGATGGATTATTCTATTTCTGGGGAAGATGGTTTGCTTATTAATTACTTGATAAGAGTTCGAGTATGGAGGGGCTCGGTCTGATCTTTGGATTATATCAAACAAAAGTCTGAACAGACAAAAACTGGTTTCTTTCAATCTCTCCTAGTGACCATCCTAGAAAATTCAATATACTTAGGATCAAAGGGCCTAATCCTGCCAACACGCACACACAAGTTGCTTCAGTCCCATTAACTTCAATGATACTTAATGTGTTTAATGCTAGGCACACACTGGGCCTGATCTATAAGCACTTTTAGATTATCTGTTCTATTCTTCTATTTTAGTGTACACAGGTTTTTATACAGCATTAATCATCACAGTTTTTCGAAAACAACAGTAATTGAAAACAGAGACTTAAGGTTTTAATATAGGTGTTATATAGAATTGATTAAAGGACTCTTTCAAAGTTTTAAAATAAGCATTTTGTGCACAAGTTACAAACCAATAGGAAATAAAGCACTTCTCATTTATCACTACAAGACACATGATCTACACTATCCAAAAAAGCATCTTTCTCACTTTTAAGAAACATTCCATACTGAGCCCAACCCAAGTAACACAAGCAGCTGCTGGAACGGACAGCTCATGGGCCAAACTGATCTCTCTTGGCATGGAGACTGGGATAGCAACTCACTGGGCTTGCAACACGACCAGACTGAGAGGTAACTCAAGACCTATCTACCCACACCACTCTGTGGAGGCTCAGGATATTCAGGACTCCAAGCTCTTTGAGTCAATCATTAAAAGGGCAGCTCTGCTCAGAAGTCAAATCCAAACTGAAAATAAGGACTTATTATGCAAAACACATGAAAGTCACAGTTCCACAAAGTAAATCAGGACCTAACTAAAAATATTAAAACAATGTTGCTTGTTCAAGAAAAAGAAAAGCACAATATTGTAATGTTGTCTGATTTTCATGAATGCATACATGTAGCATGAACTAAACCAAAGGCATTGTTTAAACTTTACATATTTTATATTCTTTATTGATTTTACATTCTCCAGGTATTTGTTATATTAGTGAAAATTATTGGAGGTCTCCAGTGGCCAAAACCATGCTTCTTAATTCCCTTAATTGTTTGTGAGAGAGTGGAAAATGTCTGCTTCACAGATCAAAATTAGTATGTACAAAGGTTCTATTTTTACTACTGCTTCTGTTTGTTTAGGCATCATTTCATATAGATTTGTTTAAAGGACAAAAAGCCCACTTCTGATCTAAAACAAAATTTTTCAAAATATAAAAGCCAAGTTAGATGCTAAATGGTAAAGTTAAACGAGAGACAGATCTATGAACAACTGCCTTGTGCAAACTCCTGTGAACTTCCTTTAGTTCACCAGTGATCAGATGGTATTACAAGAAATCGAAGTTACTGTGCTATTAACAAATCAAAGCATGTTGGTATTAGTGTATATTTAACATAGCTTTAAAAAATATGCATACTTAGCAACAAATGAATATATTAACATGCGAATGCATCTCTGAAAACTACACCTGTGTGGTTGCTTTGTATTGTGGAAATGCATGCCTTTAAACTGTACGTTTGACAAATGTTATTTGTTATACAAATACTTCTATATCGGTGGTACTATATAAAGTATTATTAATAATAGCATATTGAGCCACTGTCATTAATCACTACAGAGATAAGCATGGCCAGTGAAGTATATAATTATTAAGCTTTTGCTAAGATGTTCAGCTCTTGTTTATTATGCTCTCAACATATTGTTTAAAATGCGACCATTGGCTATTCAAATTTTTCTTAGCAGTGATACCATGACAACCACCACATGACCTGCTGCAAACATACCCTGTCTCCAGGGCTTTGCTTAAGAAGGTTCAGTGATATCATTCATTCTTAGAAGAACCTCAGTTATAGAGATGCTTTATGTTATTTAAGATGCATAGAGCCTACCAGCCAATTTTACCATGTGGCAACAAATATCTTCAACAAAAATGGGACAAAGCAAGCTATGAAGATCACAAGAAAAGGGTAGGTACGACCCTGTAGTATAGTGAATAAATAGGCAAGTCAAATGTATAGTGCAAATGCTTATTTATTCTTTAACATGAATATGAAAGTATTCCTTTGAGATCAGGACTGACATACCATATAAAGAGAAGGGTTTTTCAGCATGCATTGTATGCAGGTTGCTACTTCCTGCCATCAGTTTAAAGTATGATAATGATTCCAATAGAATTTAAAGATAGAAAAGATCTGCTCAGTCATCCAGTCCATCTCAGAGGCAATGTAGAATTGTTTCCTTCACGCCTTTCCTCAGTGCTTTGTACAGTCTAAGTATGAGTAACTCCTGTGATAAGGATTCACACAGTGTAACTGACCTTACTATAAGGAAATATTCCTTCATTATTTACAGATAAGGTCAGTGTCAAATGCTATTATCATATAAATTACATTCTTCTTTCCACATTCTGTTCCACTGATTTGACTAATGGATAGGGAAATCTTAAAGCTGAAATATAAAATCAAACTCAGCAATTTGTCTCTCACCAAAATGGCAAGATTAGAAGCTTAATTTTTAAAAAGTTATTTTTGTTTTAATTAACCACCTGTGCCATGCAATTGTGTATGAATGGAGCTATTTAAAACAATCTAAATCCACTGGAGACTTCATATTCACCCCCAAAGAATTCAGACATTAAAACAAACTAGAGCTCATCAAAAAATGCATTTTCTGTCCTGTGAAAAATTTTGGGATGAAAAAAAAAAAAATCGTCCCAAATCACAATAGAAAGCCAAAATTTTAATTTTTTTCTCCAAAATGACAGTTAAAGAATAATCATTTTGGATCAATCAAAACATTTCATTTTGATAAACTGAAAATATTTTGTTCCTGTTTTGACAATTTTTCAATTTTAATTTTTTGTATTTAAAATATGTTGAAACAAAATAATCATTTAAAAATAAAAGATCAAAACATTTTATTCCAAAGCTCATCAAAACAGGATGTTTCAACATTTGGAAAATTGTTTTATCCATTTTTCTCCCAAAATTCCATCAAAATGATACCTTTTTACACCAAAAAATAATTTAGGTGAAATGATACTTTTGATGGAAAAAATTGTTTTGACAAAAAAAATTAGTCTTGCTATCCAGTAATAAGATGCATGTTACTAGAGACCAAATCTTACTATGCTAAATGTCCTCAACTCCCATGAAAATTAGTGACAGTTGAGGACACTCATCTTGCAGGATCAGGCCTTGTATTAAAGACTGCAACAAAAAGAAGTCAAACATATCACAGGCATTTGGGCTGAAAATACACGATTTACTCAAGCTGCCTTAAGAATTGCAGCTCCAAACATCGATGCAATCAACCTAATGAGTGATTTTAACTTGTTATAGCCTTGAGATTGACCTGGCAGTTTACAGAAGTTTTCATTAACTTTGAAGTCATTGGGGATTCAGACTCAGTCCCTGTGCTGTGCCAAGCTACTTAAGCAGCTTTCGACATTAGGAACTACATGTGAACTCCAGGCAATGCTTTATGGAATGCAGTTTTCTATGTTGTTACCATATAAATTGCACTTACTTGGCAACCCTTTTTGCTCAGCATGTAAATGTTCTACACTTACATATCACATGGGTAGGCAACTCTTGAAAAGTAGAGTTAACCAGAGAGAGCACAGTTCAAATAATCATTCGTATTATAAACACATACACTTGAGTTGAGCAGTGTTCATCCCATACCATTAATTAAAGCAACAAAATCATGCATCCATTAATCTGGGGATCTCAGACTTCATTGCACCATGATCCCCGTCTGACAACAAAATTTACTTCATTACAGGAGGCCCCCAACTTGAGACACAATTGGTTCTGAAGGAAGTGTCGCAAGTCATGGGCATTGTAACTTGAACCCACATTTACGGTAGGCGCTGTCGTAAATGCGGACTGAGGATATAAGTCGGAGGTTTCCGGCCCCTTCTGCACTTACAAAAATGGTTGTAAGTGTGTGTGTGGGGAGGGAGAGGGGGGAGTGTCAGAACTTGGGCAGTTGCATCTTGGGGGCTTCCTGTACTTCATCCCAGGAAAGAGGGGCCAAAGACTGAGCCCACCCAATTTCCGCTGTCCCTGGTTGGGAGGAGGAAACGCCTAACCTCCACAGCTCTGGGAAGGGGGGCTGGGACAAAGCTGAAGCTTAAGGGCTCCGGCTCCAGGCAAGAGGCCTCCAACCTGATCCCTACTGCCCAGTGGGACTTAGGTTTCAGCAAGTCTAAGCCAGGCCTGGTAACCCCATTCAAGATGGTTGTGACCCACAGTTTGAGAACCACTGCATTAATCTTTTCTTACTTACACAGGGTCCCTATGAGTCTCACAGAATGGTCTCTCTTGTCTCTCACTCTTTCTTCCCCTGCTCTCCAGTTTTCACATCCAGGGACACCCTTGACCCAAGACTATTCATGTGAACTACTATGTGCAATAATCTTTCTATTAGGCCTGACAAACATTCATGTGACATTTCGGGGGAAAATGATTTTTACTGTGCCACTGCACGTAATGCAATACAGACTCTAATCTGTGATTAGTTTTGCATCAGAGGATACATATTAAGACATTCCTATAAGAATGAGATTATGGAAAATACCCTAAATACAAGAAACCCCTCTCAGGAGTTACATGGTTCTCCATACCCAGATCCACAGGGGTATTTCCAGGGTAGGCTGGGGCAGGAGATGAAGTAGCTAGGTCATTCCAATACTCCAGCAATTCTGCGACAGCCCAGAGTTTCTGTTGTACTAGGAACATACATTAGGGAGCCCGTGCCTGGAGCCAGACCAGACCTGAGCACTCCTAGATAATGGAGGCACGAGTATTCCTACCACCAGTACAGGGATGAATCTACGCTTATGTATTTTTTCTTTTCTCTGGGAGGAAAGGTTTGAGTTTTACTGGAATTGGAAAACAGATTTTCCATAGTGCTGTCCTTCATTTCTCACTACCTCCCTGGGCTGGTGCGGCATTACTGACATCGTGAATTGTCAAATAAGGTAGTACTACCAGCAGTACAGTAATTCCTCATTTAACATGTGCCCGCTTAACACGTTTTCGCGATAGCATGATTTTTTTTAGGGAACGTTTTTGAATTACAGGACCGTCCCCAGAATAACATGATTTCCCCAGCTGGCCCATTGCTGGCAGCTGCATGGGGCTTCCCCCGCCTCCCTGCAAAGCGGTGGAGGGTTTGCCATTCGCCGCGCTGTTCCCCGCTGACTCCCCTTCGCCGGACGCTTTACCCCTCTCCTCCACCCCCGCTTGCAGGCCAGCAGCTGGGTTTCCTCAGCCAGCCCATCACCAGCGGCTGCGCGGGGCTTCCCCACCTCTCTGCAAAGAGGTGGAGGGTTCGCTGCTCGCCACACCGTTTCCCGGTGACCCCCCTTGCCAGACACAGTGCGGGTCCCGGCAGACCTGTCACAGGGGCATACTCCCAATCCAATCCCCCTCCCCTCTCCTCCCCTTACCTTCCCCAGAGCCAAACACCTCCCCTCCCTGCTGTAACCCAGTCCCATTTCTCCCCGAACCTTATGTCCGGTCCCAACAGACACCACCGCTTGAAACGCAACTCCCACCTTTTCCATTATTTTCAATGGGAAAATTGACCCCGCATAACACATTTTCACTTAACACGATCACATATCTATAGTGTTAAATGAGGAATTACTGTACAGCCAAAGAATTTAAAACATTTCCCATAACCATACGTAAGCATTTGATTTTCAACAAATACGGATAATGATTTTTTTTTCTGCTGCAGATACAGACAGCCAAACCTGTAGTGGACACTACTCCTCCTCTAACATATGACCATCTTCACTTGAAGTTAAAGAAATTAAAGGTATCTGGTTGGTTATATTACTTAATTAAGTAGATTAGCATTGAACTGGAATACATATGCCAATATACACCGTAGTGTCCTCTCCCTTCCCCTGCCAAAGAAAGGCAGAGGAACAGGATATAATAAGATTAAATGGTAAAAGTTTTAACTTCACTCCCAGCCCTAGCTCTGCTTAACTGGGCCAGTCGATAATGCCATCCCAGTCCCACATCAGTAAAGTCTGACTTGATGCATCAAATTCCCTCTGATTGCCAGGTCCAGAGCCCAAGGATCCTGCCTAAAATTTGTTCCTGCACATAAAAAAAAAAGGGGAAAAAATACAGAAATGGAAACATTATCACAGGGCAACCATATGAACTTTATGACATGCTAGCATACTCACAACATGAAAAATTCAACAAGGGATAGTTTTGAATGGTAATTTTCTTTTATAATCTTTATACCACTATGATTAAAAGACAAGTGTTTATAAAAAGAAAATGACAATAGAAAAATAAATGTATTCTCTAGAATAATTGTGTCTGTCCACTTTAAAAAAATCCTGAACAAGGGAGTGTTGCCTGAGTAAGGACTTCAGGATTTGGCCTCTTTAAAAGGTTTGTCTTATCCTACTTTATAGCAAACCCCAGAGAGCTTGAAACTATTTCACCATAAAAAATTAATCTCTCCCATGAATACACATTTAGGGTACATCTAGACTGCATTGTTCTTGAGGGATACTGAAAGTATCCCAAAACAGCAACACCACAGCTTTAAAAGTGCCTGCTATCTCCTGAAATAGTGGGTGCGCTATTCTGGTGTCCCTGTAACCTCTTGTTACATGAGGTTAAGGGATTTGTCAGAATAGTACCTTATTTTGAAATCTAGCGCTGCATAGACAGCGCCAAATTTCAAAATAAGCTCTTTTGACTTAGAGTCAAAATAAACTATGCAATCTGCACAGCACAAATTGCGGTGCTTATTCCAACAGAAGGGTGCTGTCAAGATGCACCATTACATGCTATGGTAGGATATGGCATCTGTGCTGATTGTTCTCGTCCCCTCTCCCTTTCATTTACTAAAATAGCAGTGGAGCATTTTGTGCGGCTAAAACATATAGGCTGTGTCTACACTGGCATCCCTTCCGGAAAAGGGATGCTAATGTAGCACTTTGGAATAGGCCAATCCGCGGGGGATTTAAATATCCCCCGCGGTATTTGCATTTACATGGCTGCCGCTTTTTTCCGTCTTGGAGATAAGCCGGAGAAAAGCGCCAGTCTAGACGTGATTCTCCGGAAAATAAAGCCTTTTCCTGAGGATCTTTTATTCCTACTTGAATGTATGTTCCTTGAAAGTAGGAATAAGAGATCCTTCGGAAAAGGCTTTATTTTCCGGAGAATCACGTCTAGACTGGCGCTTTTCTCCGGCTTATCTCCAAGCCGGAAAAAAGCGGCAGCCATGTTAATGAAAATACCGCGGAGGATATTTGCCTATTCCAAAGTGCTACATTAGCATCCCTTTTCCGGAAGGGATGCCAGTGTAGACACAGCCTATGAGTTTGCCAAGCATATTTAAAAAAAGTCATATCTGAAAATGCCAATCTTGGGTACATCTTTTTAAGCTACTGGCATGCTGAGTTTTCTATCCAGCTGTAATGTGATTTTTTAGAAGTGCTATATAAATATAGAGATAAGTTTCTATAATGTTGCAAGTTTATTTTCCAGTAACCAGGTTCTCTTCTCCTTTGTAGTCACCATCCCTCTGGGTTTTTAGAGCCTGATGGGATTACTTAACGGTACCATTTTTTGGTACATCCATAAAGCAATTTCAGCTCCATTTGACCTGTTTTGCTTATAAAGACAAGCAAACAAAAAAGATGCATTAAGAGTCCCACTCATTAGAGTTACATTAGCTATTGAAGGTTACCAGAACAGCATGTGGTGGTAAAAGTTCATATTTATCCTATTAAGGCCACCCAAGTCTTAAGAGTGCTAGAAACAAATAACCAAAGAGTTGGAGGGTGGGGTGAATAGGTAGGCACAAAAGGATTTTCGATGACACTGGTGGAGGAGGGTCTTATGGGAGCAAGTTATTAAATTTAAGCTCTGAAGAGCATAGTGGAAAGATTGCTATGCCTCTTAAAGAAGCTCAGCTTCTCTGGTTCTTTTCAAACCACCCTTGCTAAACATGGCATCCTGGAAGCAGAGAAATGTACTTCCGAAGAGCACTTCTTGCAGAGGGAGCAGGAGGGAAAGGATTTGGGGCATGGATTAAATTTCACCAAAGGACAGCAGTTCACAGACATTTCTCACAGGTCTGGCTAGCTCCAGGCTAGCCGCAAATTTTTCACAACCTGCCTCATTCTCCTATTTAGGTTCTTACATAACTCCCATTACCGTAGTATTTTTTCACCTTTAACAAATGAACCTCTATATTGTACTGAATTTACAGATATCATTAAAATACTCCATGTTTACATCTTAAAACTAAATTTTAACAATTACTCAAATCTAGTTAATTGTGCACATAACTAGCGTAGGCACCACATGTTCTTCATTCAGCACACAGTCAGCCTGTGAAACTCCTTGCCAGAGGATGTTGTAAAGACCAGGACTTTAACAGGGTTCAAAAAACAACTAGATAAATTCATGGAGGTTAGGTCCATTAATACTTCTGAGCCAAAATGGGTAGGAATGGTGTTACTAGCCTCTGGTAGTCAGGGCTGGAAATGGATGACAGGAGAGGGATCACTTGATGATTACCTGTTTCTTCTGTTCACTCCCTCTGGGGCATCTGACATTGGCCACTGTCGGGAAAAAAAAGGAAAGCCTCCCAGAATTGTCAAGCAAGAAAAAAAGAGGCTGTCCCTTTAAGGGGCAAGCAAGTTTAGGCATTTTGGCCATATCCTGCTCCCGTTGATGGCCGCCATCTTGGGTGCCATTTTGAATCGCTGACCCGGTGAGCACAAGGCGCCCGTTGATGGCCGCCATCTTGGGCGCCATTTTGAATCGCTGACCCGGTGAGCACAGCGGGGTGGGGTGAGGGAGGGGGGATGTTTGGGGAAAGGTTACCAGATGGTCTCCCAAAAAATACCGGACACCTGGTATTTTTTTGGTTGAGAAAAAAAAAAAAGGAACGCGGGATAAGAATCTGACCAATCTGATTAGCTTCTAGGATGAGGTAACTGGCTCGGGGGGCATGGGGAAGTCAGTGGATGTTATATACCTTGACTTTAGCAAGGCTTTTGATACGATCTCCCACAATATTCTTGCCAGCAAGTTAAGGGATTGTGGATTGGATAAATGGATGGTAAGATGGATAGAAAGATGGCTAGAAGGC